GGATTTCCACGCATCTTGGAGCATTTTGGTTTTGATACATCCAGGGTCAGATTTTCCATCTGCTTCTGTAACTCAAACCCCTTTGAGAAAGCAATTCAAGGATTTTGACTCAAGAGTTGAGACAGGTCTATATGTTTCTTTGTTCTTTAAAATGGAGTGCATTATACATTTTTTTAGATAATGAAAATGTTCTGTTACTATTACACTAGATAGCCTGCCATCTGTTTCTATATTTCTCTTTGAGATTGCCTTAGGACACTTGATTTAAAAATTTGTAGCCTTTGAAGCATAATGAAAAAGTTCTTCGTAGCCTTTTTCTTAATCTTTTTGTGTTGCCCAGGAATGGCATCAGTGTGACAGCTTGAGAAATACTTGAAATAAGCCTATTAATTTCCATACTTCCATGGTTCCTGACTCTCTCTCTTTTTCTAAATTCCTGGACATTTAGAGCCAGAAGCAGTGTCCTGTGACTCAGTGCCTGAGAGTGATGTGGAGTGCTACGTGATGAAATGTCTGCATTGAGAGATTCCCATAAGCTAGTTAGGAAGAATAGGTGGTTCTCGATGCTACTTTTTGTGCAACCTGCTATGGATTAGTAATCATGAGGGCTGGGAGTGTAAAATAAATGCCAAACTGACTTCATCTAGTTATAATTCCAGAGGAGACTAGATTAGAAGAGGAAAGAATACCAGATCCTATTAGAAAACTAAACTAGATTAGAAAAAAAAAAATCAGATCCTAGTGCCTAAATAACTTTATTTTTTTATTAAAGATTGGCACCTGGGCTAACAACTGTTGCCAATCTTCCTCCCCTTTTTTTTTCAAAGATTGGCACCTGGGCTAACAACTGTTGCCAATCTTTTTTTTTTCTGCTTTATCTCCCCAACCCCCCCCCCCCCCCCGCCACACACACAGTTGTATATCTTAGTTGCACGTCCTTCTAGTTGTGGGATGTGGGACACTGTCTCAACGTGGCCTAACGAGCAGTGCTATGTCCACACCCAGGATCCGAACCTTGGGCCGCTGCAGCAGAGAGCGCGAACTTAACCACTCGGCCACGGAGCCGGCCCCTAAATAACTTTATATATAGAACCAGCTTAACATGAGTGTTATGTATAGAAATAGCTGAATTAGTTAATTATCATTAATAACATCATTAGTAAATCATAACTGTACTGCATATTTTCATACTGCTTCATTCTTTTCAAAAGTGCTTTCACAGATATTACCTTAATGAAAGTATTGGTTTAGAGGATCGATCACGTGGATAATAATGTGCTTTCCTTTTATCAGATTGCTCTTTGAGCCACAAAACTACTGAGTTCTATATCGGAGATTCAGTGACATAAAGCAGTTTTATTCATTCATTTAAACATGTACAATATGGTTGAAAGCTTCCTTTAGCAGTCCAGACCTTGTCAAAGATAAATGGAGTGTTGGTTTATCTAAATTATTAGCTCCTTGCCATGAACATCTTATTGAGCACTTACCATGTGCCAGCTATGAATCCCTTATGCTGATGCTCCGTCTGTGTTGAATGAATGAGTGAGTGAAAGTTTTCCTTCCTGCGCTTTGATGCTTGTCTGCTCTTCTTTAAAGTCATCTGCAATTCCTATCTAGATTGCATTTACCTTAACTCAGCCTGGACTATGATCATTTTATTAATTAAAATTTGTTTTTGGGGCCCGCCTCATGGCTGAGTGGTTAAGTTCGCGAGCTCCGCTTCCATGGCCCAGGGTTTTGCCAGTTTGGATCCTGGACGTGGACCTACCACACATCAAGCCATGTTGAGGCGGTATCCCACATAGAAGAAGTAGAAGGACCTACAACTAGAATATACAACTGTGTACTCGGGGGCTTTGGGGAGAAGAAGAAGAAAAAGATTGGCAACAGATGTTAGCTCAGGGCCAATCTTTAAAAAAAAAAAAATTTGATTTCTCTCTAGAATAGTGAAACTTGAAATAATATCAACTTAAACAAAATAGAATTTTTTTTCTCACATAAAAGAAGTCTGGAGGCAGGCAATGGAGTGCTGGAATGGAGGCTCCAAGGAGTCATCAGGGACCCAGGCTCCTTCAGGCTTTTGCTTTTGTTCCTATGATCCTAGGTGGCTGCTAGAATTTCATTCAGTGAATTCATCAATCCTTGCTCCGGATGGCAGGATGGAGGCAGAAAAGAAGCAGAAGGAAAAGCTGCCTCCATTTTAAGGACACTCCCTAGAAGTAACATATAAAGTTCCTATATACATCTCCTTGGCCAGACCTAGTCTTATGACTACATTTTGCTGCAAAGGAGTCTGGGATATCTAGATTTTTCACCTGGACAGTAATATGCCAAGTAAAACATAAAACAGAAAGCAAAACAAAGCAACAACAAAAAAAGAAACAAAACAAAAAACCCCTCAGGATTCTGCTGTTAAAAAAGTAGAGGGAGGGGCGAGCCCCATGGCTGAGGGGTTAATCCTGCACTCTGCTTCAGCAGCCCAGGGTTTCTCAGGTTCGGATCCTGGGCACGGACATGGCACCGCTCATCAGGCCACACTGAGATGGCGTCCCACATGCCACAACTGGAAGGACCCACAACTAAAAATACACAACTATGTACTGGGGGGCTTTGGGGAGAAAAAGAAAAAATAAAATCTTTAAGAAAAAAAAAGAAGTGGAGAGAGAACATCTTGAGGCAATTACTGGTCCCTGCCACAACCATTCCCTCTAATGCCACCCAAATGAGCATCCTAGATTCCCCTTACCTCTTGAGCAGTGGTTTTGCCAATTCTCAAGCCAGCTGTCACCACCGTCTTACTTGTTTATTCCTACTCCTACTTATACTCCCCAGAATTGGTGGGAAAAATCCTAAAATTATAGGCCTGTCATGTACCTGTTCAAATGTCATGTACCTGTTTGTTAGTTAACCCCAATTGAATTCTTATTTTTAAACTTGGGGATTGTGAGCTCCTGTAATCCGTTTCTTACAGCAGTTTTAAATTTTCCACATTCCATTCTACTTCTGTATTTTCACTTTGTTTTTGTTTTCTTTCTTATAAATAGGTCAACCATAGTCTACCTTTCCCTCACTTCTGTGTGTCTCTATGGTATGTCTTCGTGTGCCTGTTTTAATCCATAGGATGTAAGCCTGATGAGGGGGCTCCATTTCTCTTGTTTACTGCTGCCTCGAGCAGAGCCTGAGCAAGAGTACTTCATGCACTCTAAGTACCTGTTAGATGAATAAATGGATCATTGTCTTTCTTTCTCTTCCTTCCTTCTTCCTCCTAGAATATAGGATTGTTTCTATATTTAAAATACTTGCTCTTGACTTTGCTACCTCCCCCCCACCCCCGCCGTTTGTCACACTTCACTTTTTATTTTTTAAGAGGCATCTCTCCTCACAGTTTACTAACTCCTTGTTCCCTTTACTATCTTGAGGCTCCCTCTGTGAATTTTCAGATTTGTCTTCCAGATTTTTCCACCCTCATTGGCCTTTTTTCATCGTTGAGTCTCCTCCGCCTCCACGATGGTGAGCAAAACACTACGATCTTGCATTCATCCTCTGTTCTTTTCTCTCTCTGCCCTTTCTTTGCAATATCTTAGCTGCTAGGCTGCTTGTTGACCTTCAGCTGTTATCTCTGTATGGATGATTCCTAAGTATACACACATTGCTTTTACAACTCATTTCTGCATCACTCTTAAAGACTTCCTGGTGCCTCAACTTAAACTCCCCTGTCATCTTAAATAGTAAGTCTAGAATCCATGATGTTAGTATTAGTGTCCCACGTTCATGTCACTAGGGCGTTGCTTCTGAAACTTGGCAGTGTAGGAACCCTAATGGCAAAGGAGAGTGGCTTCCTGGGTGTTGTTTTCCGTGCTAGAATGCACTTTCTTTTATTCTCTCCAACTTCTTTTCCCTTTTAAGATCAAGTTCAAAAAGCTACATTTCACAAAGATTTCTTGGATGACACTAGACCTTACTGACTTTCTAGGCTTTGAACTCCTGCCATACTCATTTATCTGTTGCCTGGCACTCCTCATATACTTGTATTGTATTGTGGAATAAATCGTCTTTATTATAAATGTCTTATCTTGCAGATACCCTGTAATCGTATTCCTCTTTGTACTCTTAGTGCTTGGTATATAATCAGCACTTAATAATGTTTGCTGTGGATGATGGCATCCCCTTTTCATTTCCTTATCTTGTTCCATTTCTGACTCTGAGATAGCTTAAAAAAAACAATTAATTTTTCTTATCACCAAATAAACATTTCTTCTCCATAAATGAAATGGAATGCTTGGTCTGAGCTGAGTGACAGATTTTCGACAGCCTGATTGCATTCTGCTTTGCACTATTTACAGTACATTATTAAAGGCTTGGAATGATTGTTGGAGAAGTAACTTTTCTCCATCTTTCTTAGTCTTTTGAGTGTCATCATCTTAAAAACTTGGAATAAAAGAGTCCTGAAAAGAGCCAGTAGGATTTTGTGAAAACACATGACAAAGCTTTGCATTGGGGAGTTCAAGATAGGGTAGGGGCAGAGAGAGAGAAAGAGAGTGAAAGAGAGAATATGAATAAGTGAGAATGAACGTGAAAATACACACCCAGTAGACCCACACCACTTGGTAAATAATGTCAGGATATCAGACCAGCCAGGTAGAAGGGTAGCTGGATCAGAGTAATGGGTATATCATAAGGATGAGAATTCATATCAAGAGCATTTCTGCTCCCCACCCCCTACAAAAAGAAGCCTACTCAATTGCTTTTATGATAAATTGTTTTTATAAAAAATTCCTCAGTAATATAGTAATATGATGGACCTACGGAATAAAGTACATCCAGTTAATCTGTGGTGTCGTTTAAAACTAAGGTATGAGAAATTAGCTGTGGTTCAAATTTAGCTCTGTGCAGACTGAAAATCTGGCCTGGTAGAGTATGATCCCAGACTCAAATTAGTGGAACAAAAGACTCAGTTCATTTATTTATTTTATTTTACTTTTTTTTTTTTTTAATAGGGAATTTGAAGTACTGCCTTGTGATTCTGAATCAGCCTTTGGACAAATATTTTCACCATCTTTGGAGCAAAGGTAGTCTTAATTAGCATTTATATTTCTTTGCTTTCTTACTCTATTTGGGACTAACCTGACTATTAAATACCCCAGAACCTACCTGTAATACCAAAAAGTGGCATTCGTAATAAGGCGATTTAATTAATGGATTATCAGAAGAATCCATTATTGCGTCTCTGTTAACCTGTTTATATATGTGCTTTCCGCAGCTTGGATCCCCAAGGACAGAATTACAATGCAGCCTCACTCTACTGCATTTCAGAACTACTCTGTGGATGTTAGTCTTGAGTACTCACCAAGTATTTGTTCAAGTGTAAATATTTTTGGCACTGTTCACAGCAAAAAGCATCCCCAAGCCTTGCTTGTCCCGGCATCCAGTAATCAGATATCTGCAGGGTGACTGGATTCGCAAAATTAAGAAAGAAGACATGTTACCAGTATATTAAAATCTCTAGAGATGCTGAGAAATATAGTTAAAAATGGGATCGTTTCCAAGAATTAGTACTTCTATGAGGTTTCTTGTAAGAAACAGGCTTTATTAACTATCTATTTACATTATTCTTTGATTTTTATATGATTAGCTCTCAGCCAAAAAATAATATTAAACATTCACTGTGCTCCTCTATGAAATCTTGATTTTTTTCTAAAGGGCTACTTCTGCTAAGTTATCAGTGTAAGTTTAGGTCAAATTTGGTAGGCAGAAGAACTCGATTCTTGATGTGTTGATTTATATTCCTGATCCTCTCTTGTCATCTCAGACCTCTGCCTTCTCAGCTTTAAGGTGGTGTGTCTTAGAATGCAAACCTATTAGGCTAATAAGCTCACATCTGTGGACAGAGGTGGTGGTGATACTAGAGGGAATAAATCATCACAGATGATTTGTATAAAGAATTTTTCTTGTTTATTATGAATACGGTGAAACCTCTTAGTATTCTAAGTTTAGCCATCTTTGTTAGCCAACTTAGAATTTCACATTGTAATTGTACTAACATTGCCTTCGAAGTTGGAAACTTATTTAACCACTGACTTTTCTTTGCTAACACTCACTGCTTCCTTACTTGTAATTAGGTAGTGATTTGGGGGCCATAAGGCTGTAAGGTCTCTTTTGTCACTTTATCTCTAGTGCTTAGTGCTGTGTCTGTCACATAATTGCTTAGTAATTACAATAAATGAGAGAGTGATTTAATGTGGTTCATATTGCTAGTAAATACCAAAATAAACCGATTGGGCACACTGTTTTTATCTGAACTTATTATATCAAGTTTTATTATATTGTTAGAGTGTGTGAGCAACTGTGCTTTATTGCAAGCTTTAGAAATCGACAAAATAATCATTGATGGGAATTGTTGGAAACCTTAGATAAGGAAAACTACATCTTAAGGAGTCTCATATTTTGGGGAGTTAAGGGTCCTATTTTGCACATAGTGTGCAATGATGTGGAGTTTTGAGCTCACTGAAGTTCCTCACTTCTTCAGCATTTCTGCGGTGAATTAGGTTGGAAAAAGTCTCATGCCTGATGTACGCCAGCTAATCGTTTGATTTGCGTAAAAAGATGAACACTTGGTCAATCTGTGTACATGGAAAGAAGTAAAGGTCTCTAAAGTGTCATGTGTACTGAAATGTTAGATAATTCTCACTTCCAAAATAACTTTCTTTAGGTTCTTGAAATGTTAAGTTCTTTCATATGTACTTCTAGGATAATTCTTGGCTTTCTGGGGCCATTAACCATTGTAAAAAGCAGATCTGTCAACAAATACTAAGGAAGGGTGGAATGGGGTTTTTGTGATGCTCATGAGAGAAGCTCTGACTTCTTTATCTTTGTGATGTCCTGCTTTGTGTGGCTGTTCTTCCATATAAAGGCAATAACATAGGGAAACTTTGAGCCTGAGTTATTGATTTTTAAGAAAAAAGAAAAATCCTAGAGAAAAGCCCTTTATAGGGCAGTATTGGGGGTTTGGGAGGGAAGAGAGCATTGTGGTTTGGGGTTTCAGCAAGTAATGGCTCCAGGCTGCCATGCCTGTTACTCTTCAGCCCATACGTGCGACATTTTATGTAAGTTCTGTTCCATGCATGTGAAGATTGGTCAAGAGCAGAAATCAAGGGGTGGAAGCTGGATGGACTGTTCAACCAAAATGCAGGAAAATTTGAAGGCTGCTGCATAGTGTAAGCCTCTCATATAAAATTGATAATTGAACTTCAGCCTCCGCCCAGGACTTCTAAGTAGGTATTTCCTGAGACTGAGATTTGTTTCAGTGGCAAGAGTACTTTGAAGTTTCATTTTTTAGTTTTTTCCTGTCATTTTTAATTGGCATGTTATGAAATTTAGTTTAAATGACTAAAGAAAGGATTTAAGGGAGATTAAAATAATAGACGTTTTTAAATGTGTTTTCCCTTTAATACCTCATGAAGTTGCGGTGATTTTCTTGAGTACAAGTCTTGGAATATATCCCTGTCTGTCTCAGCATTTTGTATACTTGATTTAATCATGGGATATAAAATAAGTACTTAGGTCGGTAGATAAAAAGACAGAAGTGTAGTTAGTGTCTAACTTTTCGGTAACTATAGAGATTATTGGCATTTGTGAACAGATATTGCCCTCAGACTTCTTAACCTTTTTTTTTGGTCAGACTTTCTCTCCTAGTAAATGTCTTTCTCACTCTGAAATATGTGATAGTGGGAAAAAAAACTGGGATGTTTGCGTTTGAACAGCTCTGCTCTTTTCCTGTTGTAGGTCACTTTTTCTTAACTTGGCATCCGCTGGGCTTACCAGGTCCTCAAAGGTAGCAGGAGAGATCTCTGAACTACATAATGTTGAAAAGCAAAAAAGAAATAAGAAACCTAACAGACATTCATTTACTTGGGATAAGGTTACATAGATGAAACCATATATTAGGTTTCTAGGAGTTTGTCTTAAAGTGTATGCTCGTTTTAACATGAATTCACAGCCTCTGTCTCTTCCATATGATCCACAGAACAGGGGTGACTACGTTAATCAGATTGGGAATTGATGATCAGATTGTGTTAGTGTCAGGTGTTTCACTAAGATGTGACACTTTTTTCCTCTAATTAGGAATTGTTTTCCCTCACCTGATTTCTTTCTTTTTCAGTTCTGTGATAACCAACCTTAAGATCACACCAGGGTATGGGCTGTGCACTCTGGTTCATTTCAGCTGGGGCTTAAATCAAACTATTTGACAAATCGGGTGGGTCTCATAGGTTAAAGGGAGGCACATGTGGCATTTCATGAATTGAAAGTAAGCAAGGTCTTTGGTTTTATAATATTCCCCATTCCTTTCCATTAGTGATTGATACCTGTTGAGGCCTTTCTGTGTCAGACCTTGGGCTTGAAGCTGGGGAGGAAATTATGGGCTCTCAGTTAGGGCTGGAATTAGAGTTCGCAGAGCACGGTGCAGCCTGTTCCTGTTGAAGGCGTGAGGGGCTCTGCGGGCCACGAGTCCCTGTAATGAACTTGCTCTATCCCTGCTTCTTAATCCCTGAAATTCTTGTAGTATTTCATTAATCGAATCTACTTTGCTCATGTCTGTATGCTTTGCTTGCTCTCTTTGAAAAAAAGCACCTTACCTGAATAAAACAGTTTTTAATAGAATCGTGACTTGGTCCACTAATTATACTGATCTTGTGCTGCCATCGGCTTTAAGTTTTACATGAAGTAGAAATCGGCTGCAAAGCACCTTGCTGTGATAGCAGTCTTGTACCCACCCTTTCCTTCATAAATTATGCACCCTATGACTCTGTCAGCCTCTTTTTACCTGCTTATTTGAAGTTAAGCTCAACCAAAGTTAGCAAATTTATATCATGTAAAGTTTTTCTTCTTTCCGTTTCTATTCTTATTTCTCTATTCATTGGGACCTCTTTACCTCACCTCTGTGTCCAATCTGTTTATTTCCATTAAAATGGAGAAATTGGATACCTGCAAATTTCAGGTGTAGATTGGTTGAATTGATTAGTATGCTTAACATGCTTGGTATCCATCTCTATTTTAATCTTAAATTTTCTGTTTGTATACATTATCCCTGTTAGAGGAATTTCAAGGAAAACGTGGTTTTTGATAATCACCTTGAAATTCTGAAATCACCTCAGGATCATTCCTAAAGCTGACTCTGGAAGGGCTAGTCCTGGTCCATCGTTTTTTTTTATTTTAAAGAGTGTGTTTCAAATTTAATTTTTTCTCTGGCCTCACCTCCTATTCCCACCCCTTCCTATGTATTTAATGATTGATGTAATTTGTTCTTTCTTTTTTGCCAAAAACAGATGTTTACTTATTCGTATTTGCAAACTTCCACTCATCCTTCAAGGTCCAACTCAAATGCCACCTCTTGTGAAGGAAAGCTTCTGGAGCTTGCCCTGGTGGAAATAGATTTTCCCCCTAGTATTTGTATTGTGTTTCTATTACTTGTAAATGTCACCTTATCCCTTCTTGAGGATAAGCTTCTTGAAGATGGATCCAAAGTGCCTGGATGATGGTGTTTTCTTCTTAGTTCCTGTGAGACTAGCCTGGGGGTAGTTGTTGTAGGCCATCCCGGCAATTGCTGAAGGTCAGTGTCTGTCTTTGATGCTTTCTAGATCCTGGAAATTCTCTTGCCCTGATGTGAACTAGTGAGCAGGCAGCAGGCGTGTGTGCTCCTGTGTTTTCGCTCATTCTCTCTCTCCTCCAGATTCCTTTCTGGTCCTCAGACTAGTTTGGGTCCCTTTTCTGCTTCTGCTAAACTTGAACTCATCTTTTTCCCTCTGCTCTATGACTCTCTGATGCTTATTTTAGTGTTTCTTGGTACAACTGATCAGCACTGATATTTTCATTAATCTCTTGTTCTTTCCTCATAGCTCATGTGCAAGGATGTATCTTTTTTTTGCCTCTATAGTCTTATGCCTTTGACAGGTGAGGTACTAACAAAAGTGTGATTGGAATATATCCTCTTTGTCTATTAAGGTGTTATGGTAAGGTGTTTCTTTTATTACATAGAAGGATATAAAACTATGCAGTTAAGCAGTACCTTTGT